TGTGTGTGTGTGTGTGTGTGTGTGTGTGTGTGTGTGTGTGTGTGTGTCTGTATTTTATTTTGTTTTCTGTATTCTCTCCTCTTTTTTTGATGTAAAGTTTTTTTTTGTGTTTTTTAGTTTATGTAAGTATGCCTGTCATCGTATTTCTATAATGATAGCTTTTATCTAATTGCATGGTAAGAGAAAAAGAGAAAGGTAGAAAGAGAAAGGGTTACTTAGATTGATAGAGCATGTGTTGTAGTACCTCTGCCGTTGTTTTGTTTTTTTTTAATTTTTATTATAATTTTTTTTTTTCTTTTTGTTTTAATTTTTTATATTTTTTTTCATATATATATTTCTTTTTAAGATTCTTTTTTGGTTTGTGTTTTTAGGATTCTGCTCGGCGCGACGAGGCGATTGAGAGAAATATATTATGCCTATATGGTCTTTAATTGGCTACCAATAATTGTTGATAGGAGCCAGTATTATTGGAATAGAACGAATTGAGACCATCAATTAGTTTTGAGTTTGAAGTGGTTGCTGCAGCAGCGGCAGTAGCAACAGCAGTAGTTGCTGTATTGGAGTTTGACTCTTGAGAATTGCTGTTGCTATTATTGGTATTAGTAGCTGCAGCGACTGCTGCTACAGCGGCGACGGCATTAGCAGCGGTTTGGCGTTCGGTAGTTGTTGCAATAGAGTTGGCAAATGAGCCTACGCCTGCGAGAGTACTATCAGCGTCGCTGCCACTAGTGACAGTGACGGTTATATTGGCCGTATTATTGTTGTTGACTACACTGGTTGTGCCATTAGTACCGTTACTGGTGATGTCTTTGTTATTGCTATTACCAAGTTTCTCACTAGGATTACATGATTTACTTATAGTCGCATTGGTGCCGACGTTCACGTTTGGTATTGGAGATGGATGCTGCTGTTGTTGTTGTTGCTGTTGTTGCTGTTGTTGCTGTTGTTGACTTTGCAAATGATTGGTTAAGCCGAAGAAGCCATGTGGTTCCAGAAAATTATTAAATTTACCGTGACCGTTACTTAAGGGCCCGCCGTACAAACCGGGGTTGCTAGCTTCCGAATGGAAATGCGTATCGAATATATTGCGGTGATGTCCATTAAATTGCGGATACATGCTCATGGCCATATTTGGGAAGTAAAAGGGATCATTTGCTCCGTTTTGACCCAAACCAAGTGAAAGTGGATTGGGTGATAAAGAACGAGCCGGTGATACCGGACCTATCGGTCCAAAATGACTGGGTGCTTGTGGTGCTGGTCCTACAGATGCTGTTGGACCATGACCATGATGTATTTGCTGCTGTTGCATCGCACGCTGTTTTATATAGTTGGAAAATTCAGTGGGCGACATACGATAGGAGCTGCTAAAAAATTCATCAAAAGATTTATTTAATTTTAAAATCTTACTAAAACCATGTAAAAGGGAAGTTTTTGATAAAATCTTCATAGATGCTCCTTTAAGGTTCTTCGAATGGCTGTTTGATGTTAATGACTAACGAATGTAGACTATTCATGAAGTGAACAAGGGAGAATAATATGTCGACTAAATTTCTATGGAAAAAATTTTATTCAGATTTCTTTTTTTTCTTCTTTTTTTTTTTTTTGTGTGTGTCTGTCCGCTTAAAATGTGCAAGTTTTCAAACATTTTTTTTCAAAAGAGATTTAATCAACGCGGGCGCTTTAAGTCTACGGCAGAGCACCTATTTTTTGAGAACTCAAAGGCAAAGCGTCTTTCCATGCAGCCGCCCCATCGTCTAGCTCAAGTCTATAGCTCAAGTCTTTTACGTAGAAACTTGCGCGCCTATAGGATCGTGTTGGCTTAAGAATTGACGCCGAAATGTCGTATGTTTGAGCTCCAGGGAGCATTGGAACAAAATAATGATATTTATCGTAAAAGCTTTCTTAAATTAACCAATGCAGGCAACTTTTATAAATAAAACGAAAAGCCAACCATATGACCGGACAATAGAAGGGTCATACTGTTTGCATATCTTCGCATGAAATCGAAAAAGTTATAGATGTTTGCGATACGTAGCTGCGAAGTGAAAGAATAGAATATTTGACATCGAAGTTCGTTGTGTATGTGTGCGGGTGCGTGAAATTCCATTTTATATGTATCTGTATAAGTTTTTCGATATCACAAGTAGCCACCAGAAATTTTTTTTTTTTTTTTTTAGTGCTTTTTAGAAGCTTATATATCCAACAGGAATCGAAATATCCGATTCGAAGCTGATCCGAATGATTACTTTCCCACAATTGCGGTAGGGTCTTTAATGAATTCTTCATCGCAAGGGATATAGGATGGTTTCACGTAAATACAGAAGTGCATTTTTTCTTATTTACCTGTTGGCTCTTTTGGAGCTAGTCTTTAATTTTGTCGAACCGAATTTAGTTTGGGCAAATGTGGCGGTAGTAAAAGTTAGTGGAGCTTGTGAGCGTTGCATAAATGAGCCACCATTGAGAACAGCAACTGCTGGATTGGGACTACCCTTATAAGTTGGCGAATTAGATGAGGCTGATAAAGGTGACGAGCCGGCCAAGGGTGACGTTTTGGGGCTTAAGCTCAAATTATTCATGCTAGTATTGACAGCATCGATAGGACGAAAGCATTGGGCTTCGGGATTAAAAGTCTTATTAACTTCACGATCGGCAGAAGTGTTATCTTCTTGATTGTCACTATTCTCCGAGTATAGAATCTAAAATATAAACCAAAATTTATAAAATTACAATATTAAATATTTTATTGTGAAAAGTTTCGTTTTAGTCGATTAGGCATGATGTACCTACCTTGACGGCACCCTTTTCCCCTATACGATAAGAGACTTCTCCTGGATCGACCCAAACTGACAATTCATTCGGAAGATTTTCTAATATATCAGTTATGGGTACACCACTCTCGCGAGCGGCGCGCTCTAATACCGAATCGATGGGGTCACCGGTCTTTAAGCAACGAAATGCTGAACCCTAAAAAAATAAAAAAAAAAATATCTTCTGAGCAGTGCTTAGAATGTTGGGCGAAAATCGAATTTACCTTAACCGGTTTATCCGGATACCAGTGACCTTGAAATTTATCCTTCAATGCCTTTTCCAGTTCCTCACCAAATATATTGACACGTCTTCGTGGCAGTTTATTGTAGAGGTACGATATAACGAAATTTAATGCGACTTGAATTTCAAGATGCATGTTGTCGTTGTTGGTATGAATTGTTGTTGCCGTTGCTGTTATTGTTGTTGGTGTTGTTATTATTATTTCTTTTATCTTGTTCTGGTTGTGAAATGTTTTCTTCTTCTTTTTTTTTTTTTTGTCTTCTTGCTTTTAATTATTTATATGTGAGAATACTTTGTATTTACTTTTCCTTATTAATATCAGCTTATCTGGTATCAAGGGCTTCTATTTATTATTATTATTATTATTATTATTATTATTATTATTGTTGTTGCTGTAACTTTTCAATGAGCGATAATGAAGAGATGATGTAAATAGTTAAAATTTAATAAGCGTAGCGTATAAATTGTATAGTGTATGTGTTGTTTTTGTGTTGTTGTTCTTGATGGTTGTATATATATATATATATATATATATATATGCATATATATATATGTATATATATAGCTTTTTTTTTATCGTATTTTGGTTTTGTTGTGTTTTATTCTTTTTTTTTTT